TTGCTTTCTTTCTTTCTTTCTTTCTTTCTTTCTTTCTTTCTTTCTTTCTTTCTTTCTTTCTTTCTTTCTTTCTTTCTTTCTTTCTTTCTTTCTTTCTTTCTTTCTTTCTTTCTTTCTTTTTCTTTCTTTCTTTCTTTCTTTCTTTCTTTCTTTCTTTCTTTCTTTCTTTCTTTCTTTCTTTCTTTCTTTCTTTCTTTCTTTCTTTCTTTCTTTCTTTCTTTCTTTCTTTCTCTCTCTCTCATTATTTTTTCCTTTTTTCTTCTTTCTTTCTTTCTTTCTTTCTTTCTTTCTTTCTTTCTTTCTTTCTTTCTTTCTTTCTTTCTTTCTTTCTTTCTTTCTTTCTTTCTTTCTTTCTTTCTTTCTTTCTTTCTTTCTTTCTTTCTTTCTTTCTTTCTTTCTTTCTTCTTTCTTTCTCTTTCTTTCTTTCTTTCTTTCTTTCTTTCTTTCTCTGTGTCTTTCTTTTTTTTCTGTTGTCCACATTATACTGTGTACCGCCAGACGTCGCCGGTTACAGATAAATTAGAATCCGAATCGTTTTGCTCCGTATTCTGTGATGTTGTGGAGTCTCAATGTATCATTGGCTCGGTCAGTCGATATTATTCTTGGTCCTCCCCTAACTCTTGGTGTTTCTACTTTAGTGTTGTACGCTTTCGTAGCTGATATCATTGTCTTACTCCTGATGTTTCAGTCCACAGGCGACTGGTCTTCAAAGATATGCCTGTCATTGTTTTTCCCATTGGCCATTGGTGTGGAAAGGGTTGTTTTGTTTTTACTTAAGTAACCGTAACGTCTAGAGAGTTGGACGACGGTAAACGCTAAATCTCTATAGTATACTGATGATTACGATGGAGCAAATACACAAAGAGACAGACAGAAAGACAGACATGCGTATATATAGACGTATACATATTGGTAGACAGATAGACAGACGGCCGTACAGACAGACAGACAGACAGACAGACAGACAGACAGACAGACAGACAGACAGACAGACAGACAGACAGACAGACAGACAGACAGACAGACAGACAGACAGACAGACAGACAGACAGACAGACAGACAGACAGACAGACAGACAGACAGACAGACAGACAGACAGACAGACAGACAGACAGACAGACAGACAGACAGACAGACAGACAGACAGACAGACAGACAGACAGACAGACAGACAGACAGACAGACAGACAGACAGACAGACAGACAGACAGACAGACAGACAGACAGACAGACAGACAGACAGACAGACAGACAGACAGACAGACAGACAGACAGACAGACAGACAGACAGACAGACAGACAGACAGACAGACAGACAGACAGACAGACAGACAGACAGACAGACAGACAGACAGACAGACAGACAGACAGACAGACAGACAGACAGACAGACAGACAGACAGACAGACAGACAGACAGACAGACAGACAGACAGACAGACAGACAGACAGACAGACAGACAGAGGTAGGTAGGTAGGTAGGTAGGTAGGTAGGTAGGTAGGTAGGTAGGTAGGTAGATAGATAGATAGATAGATAGATAGATAGATAGATAGATAGATAGATAGATAGATAGATAGATAGATAGATAGATAGATAGATAGATAGATAGATAGATAGATAGATAGATAGATAGATAGATAGATAGATAGATAGATAGATAGATAGATAGATAGATAGATAGATAGATAGATAGATAGATAGATAGATAGATAGATAGATAGATAGATAGATAGATAGATAGATAGATAGATAGATAGATAGATAGATAGATAGATAGATAGATAGATAGATAGATAGATAGATAGATAGATAGATAGATAGATAGATAGATAGATAGATAGATAGATAGATAGATAGATAGATAGATAGATAGATAGATAGATAGATAGATAGATAGATAGATAGATAGATAGATAGATAGATAGATAGATAGATAGATAGATAGATAGATAGATAGATAGATAGATAGATAGATAGATAGATAGATAGATAGATAGATAGATAGATAGATAGATAGATAGATAGATAGATAGATAGATAGATAGATAGATAGATAGATAGATAGATAGATAGATAGATAGTCCCATGTATATTACTACCTTGTTTTGAAGTTCATCAATAATAATTCTGTAAATAACCGCTGTATTTCCCACAAAGGTTGTACACGTCATCGTGCCTCCCAATAATTTGAAACAAAGTCGAAGAAATGGGTGGCATAGACACGAGGGTAAATGGCAGCAGCACTCACTCACAAGTATATCTTTCCTTTCTTGAACATCGTGTTTCCTAGTAGCTAATTAATTCTATTTTAACATGTGGCCCCTCCTACTTTCAACACTTGGTTGTGCTACTGTTAGAGACTGCGTACACGCTGCTGTGTTCTTTTAACGATAATCGATAAATCGAAGCGCTATTTAACCAAAGCTAATCTTGCAATAATCCGACAGCTGTGCGCAATGAAAGCGAGAGAGAGAGAGAGAGAGAGAGAGAGAGAGAGAGAGAGAGAGAGACCGAGAGAGAGAGACAGACAGAGAGAGAGACAGAGACAGACAGAGAGAGAGAGAGAGACAAAGAGAGAGACCGAGAGAGAGACAGACAGAGAGAGACAGAGAGAGATAGAGACAGAGAGAGATAGAGACAGACAGAGAGAGACAGAGATAGATAGAGACAGAGAGAGATAGAGACAGAGAGAGAGAGAGAGACAGACAGACAGAGAGACAGAGAGAAGACAGACAGACACAGAGAGAGAGACAGAGAGAGAGAGAGAGAGACAGAGAGAGAGAGAGAGAGAGACAGAGAGACAGACAGACAGACAGAGAGAGAGAGACAGACAGACAGAGAGACATACAGACAGAGAGAGAGAGAGAGAGAGCGCGCGTTCTCACAGTTGATTCCCACATTGTCGTTTATGAAAATCGTTAGAAGACATTAATATTCCCCTCAACAATCATGTTCAATCAGGGGCGATGTCACAGACCGGATTTGAATTTTCTTTGGCTTTAGAAATGGAACTGGACATAAACTGTGAGATACTTTCCAAACAGGAAATTAGAAAAGCTATCGATCTTCTAAAGCAAGGAAACGCGGCAGGTCTAGATGGTATCCCAACAAAGGTTATTAAAGCCACTATAAACACATCATCTAAATTGCTACATAGATTATGTAGTAAACTCTGGGAGACCGAAAAAACACCAGCATAACAGAGAGAAGGAAGCGAAACTGTCGAAAATGTTGATCTAAACTACAGGAGTTTAAGTTACATAGGGGGCACACATTTTTTAGGAAACCTTAGGTGGGGCATGTCACAAAAAATGTTGGGAAGCGTTGCTTTAACTCGTAGAGACCCAGATATCTAGTGCTTTTATACTCGTTTATCCAAATGTATGTGCGATTTAAAATCAACACTGTCAGAGTTTCTTCTTCTTCTCAGCATTCCGAGCACTTGAGGTTCATTGCTGCAGATATTACCCGCTCCCATTCATCTCTCAGGTTGGCCTTCTCCGTCTAGTTGGTGACACCAAGTGTCTGTCAGAGTTTGAAGGCGTTACAAAAAATTTATTATTTTTCTGAGTGATTTGCCTTAATGCCGGTGAAGCATTTCTCCGACCATAAGGTTTATCATGGCACTAAGCCAACAGTAACCGCTCCACTATTCTTTTAATTTTCGGCCGGGTTCTTCATGCTTCTGAATTTGGTTTCCTTTATCCGACCTCTTGCTCTTAGCCCAAAGGGTTTGTAATACAACTAAGGGCCAGAGCAAACAAAGTACCAATTTTAAACACAACAAACTAATATTGTCAATTACAGGATTGTATTCTAAAGGATAAAACACCCATCGCTGAAGTGGAGACCACTTGGTTAAAAAGTCTACAGGGACAGATTCCAGCAGCCCTGCTTAGCAGTGCAGCACAGTAGTGTTAGGGTAGTATACGGAAAGGAAGTAACGTGCAGTCCAGTGTGAAAGGGTATTCCCTTCCGTTTTTTCCATTTCCGGGCTGCTACTAGAAGGTTTGTCCACGCTGAGATTACAAATTCTAAATCTGGATGACAGCCCAACAAGTCGAATCCCAGATACTTCACAGAGATTTTGAATAGAGGCATAGACTAAAGTTAGCTCTCATAAAATGATGCAACAGGGCAGGCATTGAATTAATAAATTTCCTATCTGTAGAACCAATGTTGCAAACAGGGCAGTCAATAAAATAATGAATTCCTTAGCAGTAGAACCAATGTTGCACACATGGAAGTCAATGCATTAATGAATTCCCTAGCTGTAGAACCAATGTTGCACACAGGAAAGTCAATGAATTAATGAATTCTTTAACTGTAGAACCAATGTTGCACACAGGGCAGTTATTAAATTAATGAATTCCCTAGCTGTAGAGCCAATGTTGCACACAGGGCAGTGAATAAAATAAAGAATTCCCTAGATGTAGAACCAGTGTTGCTGGATACATGTACGACATGGAGTATAAGCATTCAAGCTTAAAATTATGTACTTGCACTGAAGGTGTGGTTTTTTAAGAGACATGCAAAGAATATCATATCATGTAATGATAGGAAAAAAATTGATTCAGTCATCATCGAGACATTTGAAAGCCGTTCAGCCCCACCAGGACATCACACCAAGCGATAAACACCCTTTGACACAAAATGCCACCGTACGGATAAGGATCACCAGGGGACAGGTCCTATTTTGGAATGTTTTATGATTCGACTGTCGTAAATTGATAAGAAGGGTTAGACGTAGACTTTAGGTGGATTTCAGACTTGGTAAAAAAGGTCAAGATTTATGAAAAGAGAGCAATGGGAAAGTAAATAGATAGGTAACTAGATGGCTCAGTCATATGGATTGCAAGAGGCAAGAACACTGACATAATCAGTGTGTGCGATTATTGCCTGAAAGGGCGAAATATAAAGACCGAAAGCTTATCAGCACGGCTCATAATAGCGATGATGACGAGGATGGTGTTGAAGTTCACTTCATGTTAAGGTAACAATGAACAAGTGTTACGGCATGTTTTTTTTTTTTTTTTTAGAAATGAGCTCCTCAGATTCAATAAACAATGCTCACTTCGGAATCACACGAGCAGTAATTCCGAAAATTCGCGAAATCCAGGTGACCTAGTTAACTTTGACCTCTAACACCACTAGCTTGCATCTGTCTGAAACTAGGTAGCCGTGAATACAAGCTTTGTGTGAGTGTGAGCGTGTGTGCGCACGCGCCTGTATGTGACAGAGAGAGCGAGAATGAGTGCATGTGAGAGAAAAAAGAGAGAGAGAGAATGAAGAACAGACAAAACAACTGACTTGCAGATACCTCAGAAAAGGAGGGGAGAGAGAGGGGGGGGGGGCGGGGGATGTGAGCGCCGCGCGCTGTATATTTTCTAGTTTACAAAAAGGCGGGGGTGGGGGGGGGGGGGAAGGGGGAGGCTAAGGTTCCTAATCCTAGTTGAGCAGACTAATAATAATGGTAAATGGTAAATAGATATGATAATATTGATGAAATGCACGAACAGATTCTTTTAAAGAGACTTTCTATGCATGGCCTCCTTCTTACAGTTTGTTTAGACCGCAAAAAAAAAAAAAAAGGGGGGGGGGCGCCCAGTAGCATGCATGAGCTCCCAGTTTCTGAAGCATCATAGCTGTATAAAATCATTCTGGGGTATTGAGTGACGATCACCCTCTCCCCTTACTCTGCTGAGGAAAACGCAAAGCACGTGGCCCCCGCCACCCACTCCCCCGCCCCCACCCTCTCTCCCCTCCCCGCTTTACGGCGCTTATGCTTGGTATAATCTCACCCTTTTGTTATCCTGGCTGAATTAGGCCAGGCCCAGAGCAACACAATACATCTGAAACAGGTTTTGTTCTCCCGAAGTCTCTTTGCCGGTGATTCTGTCTTATTGATCTGTTCCTGGTTGGCTATCATATACACTGTTCAGTCTTCATATACTTAGTCGATATATTTTGTTGTCAGTGGTCGGCGTGGTCTCCAGGCGTGGTTTCCGCCTCGAGTGCTATAGGTTTCGGGCTCAATCCCCGGTGAGGACTGGGACTTTTTTTACGTGGTCTTGGACTTCTAGTAATTCCCCCCTGGTCTCTGACAGTGAGATCGGACGCCCGTGTGTATTGTTACGCATGTCAAAAATTCCTTGGCAGCTGTAAATCGAAAAGAGTAGCCTAACGGCACTGCCTAGGAAACATTTAGAGTTAAGAATCTACCCAAAGTATTTCAGGATCCTCGCTGGTGCTACAGAGCCTGTGCACTGTGCTGAGCTTCTTCGGACTAAAACTTAATTTAGAAGAAGAACGGAGCACTTATGGGTTCTTGACCGTTTTGTTGTCGTACTTAATTGTCATATTTACTTCTATTTTTATGCCACACTTAATTCTGTTATTTTTTTTTAAAATCCAGCCTAATTCCCATTCCGTGTTTTAACTCTTATTCATAGTTTATAATTGTTTCCTACTTATTTGTTGTAGGCAGTTTGTACACGTTCCCTACTTACTTGTTTTAGGCAGTTTGTACAGGTTCCCTATTTATTTGTTATATGAAGTTTGTACACGTTCCCTACTTATTTGTTATAGGCAGTTTGTACACGTTCCCTACTTATTTGTTACAGGCAGTTTGTACACGTTCCCTACTTATTTGTTATAGGCAGTTTGTACACGTTCCCTACTTATTTGTTACAGGCAGTTTGTACACGTTCCCTACTTACACGTTTGCACATTTGTCCTACTTATCATACACGTTTGCACATTTGTCCTATTTATCTGTTATAACTAGTTAGCATACAAGTTTCAACATTTGTCCAACTTATCCGTTATAGCTAGTTAGCACACAAGTTTGCACATTTGTCCTACCTATCTGTTACAGCTAGTTAGCACACAAGTTTGCACATATGTCCTACTTATCTGTTATAGCTAGTTAGCATACAAGTTTGCACATTTGCCCTACTTATCTGTTATAGCTAGTTAGCATACAAGTTTGCACATTTGTCCTACTTATCTGTTATAGCTAGTTAGCATACAAGTTTGCACATTTGTCCTACTTCTGTGTTATAGCTAGTTAGCACACAAGTTTGCACATTTGTCCTACTTATCTTTTATAGCTAGTTAACATACAAGTTTGCACATTTGTCCTACTTATCTGTTATAGCTAGTTAGCACACAAGTTTGCACATTTGCCCTACTTATCGGTTAGCATACTTATCCTACGTATCTGTTATAGCTAGTTAGCACACTTGTCATACTTATTGTTATAGGCATTTGGCAAACTTGTCCTACTCATGTTTTATAGGTAGTTAGCACAATTTTACTTCTTTTTTGTTCAAGGATTTTAGAACAATTGTCCTTCTTATTTGTTCAAGGTTTTCAGCACACTTGTCCTATTTGTTTTTGCAAACCTGTTTTTTTTTTTTTCATTTTTACGGCATGCTTGTCAGTGGCTCTATCTGCCGAACTGGGACCTCAGACTCCACACTTGAGTTTAATTAACGAATAATTTTACTTTTATAATCACGTGTTTTAGTTGGTAACATATATATGATTCATTAAATAATAGACATTTCAAGCTCAAGTTTAAAATTAAACCTTTGTATGATTTGTTTCTCTACTAGGCTATGTTTGAATGTGCAGTTGACATGCCAGTTCATGGAGACAGCCCACACGAGAGTCTGACATGAGGAAACAAGCAAAACAATACGAAATGCGCCCTTTATTACTATTATTTATTTATTATTATTATTTATTATTTTTTGTGATTATTATTATTGTTATTATCTTTATTTTTGTTGTTGTCACCACGCGATGGTGTAAAAAGTAATTAAAGATCCTTTTTCAAGCGTGTAGGCGGATCGGGCATATGGGAAGAGCCACCATATTTTTACAGACTAATCGTTACTAGGTGGATAATGTGATCAGCATTACGCCGGCCGTCTTTACTTCCCCAGGACATACATCCTGGTACCCATATTAGGCTAGGTCGACCTATGCGATGGTGTGGCATACAAGTATAACAATATTTGTGAAATAATATGACTTTGTATCAACAAATACTAAAAAAAGAGCTTAAATACATGGAAGCAAATCGTCTAGTGGAAAGCTCTAAGGATTGGCACCTCCCATATTTTAACATTATTTGGAAGTGGTGGGTAAGCCCATTAAAAAAAAATATTTCATGTGCAGTTTTCTTAGTAATTGTTCTAACAATTCCTTATTATTGCAATATACACAAAAGTACCAATTAAACGCTGGAGTTAAATATTCTACCGTTGTTTTCATAACTAGGTAAACACACACCGATACTTATAGACATGGTGGCCGAACCTAAACATAGAATACATGTGCTTGTTGTCACACAACAAATGTTTGTTCAGCAACCAACCTGTTTGAGCCAATCCTGCCAGACACGTTGTATAGTTTAGGAGGTCTTCTTCTGATTTGTATACAATACTATATTTGAGAGATATATTTACGGATAATGATCCGTACGCATAAACGCAACATAAGGATAATCTGAGAATAATAAAAAAAGATAATATAAATACTGAAAACTATAACTGCAACCACAATACATGTGAGGTTAAATACCTCTCATGTGTCTATCATTATCATCATAATTATTATCATCAGCAGCAGCATCATTATCATCAACATTATCATCATCATCATTATATTCAATATTATCACCATCATATAGCATATCCTTAGCAAAACGTGGCACCCGATACAACCTACCTGAAAGCCCGTTGATTCTCAAGTCTACTACAAAGGTGATACCCTGTATTTCAAATCGATGTGTATGTGGTACTAACAGACAGTTACTAGAGTTTACTGCTGAAACTAGCGGTGATCAGGCGAAGTCGGCGCAGCAGAACCAGATGAAATTGTGGTGTAGATTTCGGGATTGGATTTTCCCAATGGTAGCTCACAAATAAGCTAAAGGTCCAAAAAGGTCACAATTCGGGCGTAACCAACAATAAGTTGTAAGTAGAGGACTTTTTTCCATGCCTTTGGGCGTATAGGGCACAAAGGGCTGGACCTATACTTTACAGACCAATCGGCATAAAATGGGTAATGTGGTCAGCATCAGGCCGACCGGCTTTACTTCTCGGGACTGCACCTGGTACCCACTCAAGGCTGGGTCGACCTGGGAACCAAGGTCATTTGTGAAAAAACTCCCGCTTCGCCAGGAGGCGAACCCACGAACTTCCGATCCACAGCGAGCGTCTAGCCGCTCCGCCACGGCGACTCCAAGTGACAGTTGTAGTAGAATGAATTCGTGTAGGAAATGAGTCATCATGATGTAGCAGGACCTTTGCAGAACGTCGCTCTCATCACGGTTTTCATGAAAGAAACTTAGTCTCTCGCCAGTTCTCCCCCCTCATGTACTTTCATACTCAAGGAGTCACTTTTATCCTGTGTCCATATTCGTATTAGTCGGCCCCTGCCCCTTCCTTCCTGGTACCATGCCTTCTGATATTATTTTTTTTTTCAGAAAACCCACCCTGCTCAAACCACTCTTTTCCTTTATTCCATGTTAATACCTTTAAAGTTTTCTTCAGAACGATAGAGTTTTCTGTTGTAGTACCGCCAGGCTTAAGGGCGTCATCACAACTACCCTTACTTGCTCTGTCATCGTTCTTTTCCCCAGTTCATGTTTGTGATCTGCCTGTCCTGGGAGCCTCTTAGTAAATGGGTGAGGCACAACAAAACAGTGGTGCGACAGGGATGACTTGTCTCATCCCCTATTTTTATTGGCAGTAGATTGGATTATCAAGACAACAACTGCTAACATCAAGAATGAAATTCAGAATTCAGTGTACCCCTACAAAACAGCTTGATGATCTGGATTTCGCTGATGATATTTCTCTTCTGACCAACTCACCGAATCAAATGCAAGATAAATTTAATATACTTGATGCGAGATCACACAGATAGGTCTGAAAATCCTTAAGGGAAAGATAAAGATAATGAGAATAAATCAGGCAAATAATACTGTGGTTTCTCTTAATGGCACCCCACTCCAAGGCGTGGAGTTGTACATCTACTGGGCAGTAATGTAGATAAAGGTGAGGGAACTGTAGAGACATTAAATATGAACACTAAAAGCGAGAAGACCTTTCATAGCATTAGAAAATGTGTGGAGATCAAAAGAAATTAAAACCAATGCTAAACTAAAAAATTTCAACTCTAATATCAAAACAGTTCTGCTGTATGGAGCGGACACATAAAGGTCAACTAAGGCAATTACTAATAAACTACAAACTTTCATTACCTGGTGCATGCGCAGAATAGAGGGAATTAAATGGTATGATAAATTCACTGATGTTGAGCTTTGAGAGATAACTAAACAGGTTCCAGTGGACCACGAGGTGAAGAAAAGAAGCTGGCGCTGGATAGGACACACGTTGCTAAAACCCGAGAACAATATAACTAAAATGTTTTTGCACTGGAACCTACAGGGGAATACAAATAAAGGAACACCAAAAAAAACAACAACACATGAATAAGGGAGGTAAATAGTGAAGTTGAAAAGAAGTGGAGGACATGGGGGAGCTACTTGCAACAGTGAAGGATAGAACGACTTGGCGTGAGTTGGCTGAGGACCTATGCTCTATTGAGGGCTATAAAGGCAGAAGAAGAAGAAGAAGAAGAAGAAGAAGAAGAAGAAGAAGAAGAAGAAGAAGAAGAAGAAGAAGAAGAAGAAGAAGAAGAAGAAGAAGAAGAAGAAGAAGAAGAAGAAGCAGAAGAAGAAGCAGAAGAAGAAGAAGAAGAAGAAGAAGAAGAAGAAGAAGAAGAAGAAGAAGAAGAAGAAGAAGAAGAAGAAGAAGAAGAAAGGAACTACAAATGAGACACTTTAACATCTTACAATAACAATAAAGTTTTAGGCCAAATGGCACCAATTTTGAAAAGCAAGCGTGTGAATATGAACATTTAAAGACTACTACTGTTCAACACAATATTCTTATCAATGCTATGCTATCGATGTCAAACTTGGAGACTTTCTTCAACAGAAATGGAATGTTTACGTACTATGCTAGGTGTAAGTAGGAAAGACCGACCGACTAGGAATGATGATATCAGGAAGAGAGTCGGCACAGAACTAATACTGAGCTTTAGACAACAAATCAAATGATTTGGTCATGTAACAAAATTGGCATCACACAGGGCACTATAGAGACCAATGTTATGTAGATACAACGGTAACAGATCTAGAGGTTGACAACGCAGGATATGGACCGCCGAAATATCAGAGACGCTGACAAATACTTTATATGAAGCGAACAGAAGAACCCGTTAGAGATCGCATACTGCCGTAACGCCACTAGCTATTCCAGAAATAGAGAAAAGAAACAGAAAAAGACAACAACAATTCATGTTCGTGATGAATTTGTATTGTAAATGTATTTACTGTTTATTTTCAGTGCTTTTTATTTCACATTTTAGGGAGGTTATTTTATTTTTTTCCCTGCAGCATTTTAATGTTCCTGTTGATTTACTTGATGCTATTACTCTGTAAAAATCGGCCATCTTCTTTACTTAACTTAGTTTACTTTGAAATTTGGCAGTACCTATTGCTTACGCTACATAATGACCTTAGTATTTGTGTTTCACTGTTGAATATTCTCATTAGTGTATAAACATAAACACACTAACAAATATTCATGAATTTGCTATACATGAACACAAAAAATC